CCCTAGTTCTTACTCGTGGCATTACTTAATGTCAATTATGAGTTACATATTGCTGTACTACATTATGAAGAAGACATTTATACATTTATATATTTTGATGTTAAAATGTGTATTGTGTCAATATTATTTCATTTTGATCATCTATAGTTGTTCCCTCCCCTGATCATTTTTTCAATGTTATCTTATCTTACATAGATACAGTGAGAATACTAAAAATTGTTAACACTATTTTTTCTCCTGTATTTTGAACCCACATCCCATGGGTGGTTAGATTAGAAAGTATTTGCATATGCACATCCATTTAGCATATGCTCAAGAAAGCCTTTCCTTCTAATTTTGGTTTGCTACTGTTTGCTCTGATTATATTGTTGTGTTGATTCTGAAAACATATGATTTCATATGCTTATTGTCATATGTACAATGTACCCTTATGTCACAAGTGCAGATGAAGCACAAACAACAATTAAGCATATATACCGGTAGTTTGTTATGACATGTAACAAATCTGTATGCTTTTCAATCTTTCCAGTCTTGACAGGGCATCCTTCCCACCAAAACTGTTGGAGTATGTGAACAACACAGAGTCTGTGAGTACATCTGGTAACAAGAGCAAAGGAGAGGATATGGATGCCTGCCTGGAGGAAGTCAACAAACAGTCGAAAGTTTGGCAGCATGGCAGCATGGTCGCTTTGGACTGGTTGCGAATTTTTAGAAATCTTGGAAATTTGAATGAGGTAAATAGTAAACATTAATTGATAAATAAACCAGTTCCTCTTTCTGTTTGACACGAAAGCCTTGTACAAAAAATAATGAAAGGCTTCTATTTTTAACCTGTTAACACATTTTCAATGAAAGCCGACCGTTTAATATGTAACTTACCTCTTAAAAATGATATTTACAATTTAATTACAGATCAGAGAATGGTTGCTCTGCTTAATTGGGCTGACAGACCCTAAGGAAGATGCTGTCACAAGCTCAAAAAGGTACTTCCAAGAAGAAGTAACTGCGTGGAGACTCAAACTTCGGAGAGAAAGGTACTATTGTATGTTTTAATCAAATCATTATGAAACCCAATAATCAATCAATTCAATCAATTTATTTACAAAATATCACACAATTATTACAAAAGTAAATCTTGGCCCGCAAATAGCTTTGCTAGTCTAGGCGGGCCAGATTAATAAATAAATAAATAAATTATATGTCAACTATTTACAATAACAATATTTGTCTAACATAACATACAATCGAGTAATACAATCAAAATGAAAATGGTAAAGATAAATTTAACAGAAATAGCAAAGAAGAGTTAAGTTTAATATGTATTCCAAAAATAAAGAAAAGAAAAAGGTGATAGATATATTGAACTCTAAGATATAAACTTTCAAGAGAAAGGCTTCACAGGCTACACATAATAACTAGTACAGTGTACATGTATGTTATATTTTGTTGTGGGAATAACACACCGTTTGTACCAGCTTGTGAACCAGCTTGTGAGGATAAGTAGAGGTGTGGGAAGGGGAGAGGGGTGTTGGGATGAGCTACACTTTGTTGTTGTTGAGCACAATTTGCGAAAGAAATCATAAAAAGATGATTCAAAAGTATGTATTAATTTTATAATTTTGTCTGGCTATTCTTTCACCACAAATACCTCACACGTTATGCTGATCAAGAACCACTGTACTCAATTGATGGAGAAGAATTAGATCCAAAGCTAGCAGATTTTGAGGAAACCCTGGAAGCCAATCGGCATAACCTTTTAGTCAACAAAATGATTAAGGGGAAAGAGAGAGCAGACATTAGAATAACACCATTATATGTAACTAGGAAAGAAAGGGCTAGCGCAGAGGATATTAATAATCTTACTAAGTCTGCAATCCTTCTCCGGATTATTGATAAGATTGATCTTGTTTGTAGTGATGTTCTGAAACATGAGTTCAAAGAAAAGCTTATGGTTTTTCAAAGAACAGCAAACACAACTAAAAAAGAAGCTTTGATTCATTTTTGCATAGAGGTTGAAGATGCATTAAGTCATCAATTAGCCCTTGAAAGTGCCTGTCATGTAGAAGAACTTTCTGATGAAGAGCTGTAACATTGTAACTCAATTGTTTTCTATTATTTATATAGATGTGTATATATAGTGAACACAATTTTTAAGATATATCATAACTCAACATTCATGTTTAATCATATATTATGTGGTTTAAATACAAATAATATTGCACTATATTGCACATATTCACTATTCAGTAAATTTTGTCTTAGAGAAATTTGTGATTTAGTAGAGTACGAATTGAATAAAAGTCAAAAGAAGTTCACTCGAAGCTGAACTTGTTTGAAATCACAATGTTCTATTTTTGTATGACAACCTTGCTACAAGTAGTTGTATGTGTGTATTGATAACTCACTGCTATGTTCAGTTTTAGTCACATGAGTTCAATCCTAAGACGTTCGCTAATTGTTTGCCGACCTCTATATTATCGGGCGTTTTCTCCAGTGGTACCACACAAGACAATGTTGCCGCGTTATTTTCTGGTGTAGACTGAGTTGATTGTAGGTACTACTTTTGTATTGATAAATAAATTTTTCAGAACCCTAAGCAAATCTTTTTCTGGGAGTTTCGACTAGAAGAAAAACGTCTGCGCCAGTCGTAACGTTAAGTTTAAAGGCATTGTTGAACAGGGTTGCCTTCCACTTTGGCAACGTTACTGCACGCTTTACACTGTCCTCGATGTAGCTCAGTTGTTCTTTACTGCGTTTTGTTTCCTTAAATGATGCAAACAAGTATTAAAGCGTTATAAAGTTAGTATTAAAAACATGTATATGAGTGTTGTCAAAGCAAAAAGGCCCTAAAGAACACGCCCGCCACCAGTGGTGCCTAGCGTAGAGACTCGAGAGCAAAAGGGACCTTAACAGCTT